TGACCGCCAGCTTCATTTTTCAGTCAATATTGATGGTCTAGTGATTGCTGCAGTCAATGTGACTATGTCATGCTAAATACTGAACGTGGTCAGAAAGTCATTTAAGCAGTCTCACTTTTCATCTTCTGTGTAGGCTGCTTTTACAGTTTCACTACAGATATATAATTTTCTCTGTATAAGACTCTTAAGATGAAGGATGGATTTGTGTTTAACATATTAGAGTGGAAGGATGTTAATCGTACTGCAGTTGCAAACTTTCTTATGTGACCTTGAATTCTCGCATTCTCTTCTACAGTGAGATATAGCCCGTATTCTCCTGTGCTGACCTCTGTACTTTTAAACTGAGCTAATCTAATGTTTGCAGTTTGCAATTCACTTGAGATTTTCTCCTATGCAAACATTGAGGATTATTCTACAGTTTGGATCCTTATTCAAAGTGTTCAATAAAATAAGCGTACATAAGAGACACCTCCATAAAGGACCCATGGTAATCACTAGGTCTCTGCAGCAGGTGACTAGAACATCATCTAATGACTCTTGTACCTGTCTGGATATGTGTTTCCACTGTCCTGCTCATTTTTATATGCGTATTTTGCAAACAGTTTAAGTGACTATTTTCAGAATATTTACTCCTGAAAGGCTGACACAGATTTCTGATGAAGCTTACAGGAACGAGGCACCCATGTTCCACTATCTTTCACACTGCACTTAGGTTCCTGTAGGAAGCTTAGTTGTAAAAAATTACTTGGTCTGGGTGGTTTTGAACTGTTTGCATTCACCTCCTGTGGTGAGGAGACCGCTCTATGATGAAATCAGTTCTTAGCACAGGAGTGAGTATGCTTTGGATGGTGGCTTTATTACTGAGATTACCATCTGATATATATATATAATTGATTTAAGATCAGTCATGCCCCGTCTCCCTGCTCTCTAGAAATCCTCCTTTTTATGAACCATATGTATACATAGGCAGTAATGTCTTCAGCTTTTGTGCCTTGAAAAGGAGATGTTTGTCTTCAAGACTAACCCCCCTCTTTCCTGTTAAATGCCATTATCTCAGCATAGATTGTTAGTCACAGGCTGCAGGAATCCTACAGCTGACCCAGTGCTTCACTGAATATACAAATGTTCTGCTAGAAAAGGTAAATATAATTTTTCATAAATGGGAGTGCCCTTAGCACACAAAGCAGCAGTGCCAGGTCTGCACCACTTGTGTGCTTGTTCTGAGGTTATCCCCATGTTCATCTAGGAACTGAAAACTTTTCACTGGGAAGGACAGGAGCAAGCATTCTCAGAGATCTGGGAAGTCAAGCATTCACTGTGGTCTGGGCCATTTCCAGAATTCTTCCGATAGGCAGGAGAAAGTGGCTCTACGGTGTGCTCTACACCCATTTTGTGTTTATCAAAATATGCTGCTAACCCAGTTCAAGGCTTACAGAACTAGCACTGTAAGGGACTTGGAGAGGCCATTGGTGTGGCCTAAGGCAGGTTAAACCATATCTAAACCAGTCTTTTTGACAGCTGTTTGACTGACCTGGCTGTAAGTACTGCCATGAATGGAGGTACCAGAGCCACCCTAGGCATGATCCTCCAGTGCATCGTTAGCCTTCTGGCTCGATGGTCATTCTTATCCCTGCCTATGATGTCTACTCTGTTTAAATGCATGATATTGCCAGTGAAAATGAAGAACCATTTAATACGTGCTTCTTTGCAGAAACAGTGTATTTGGTACGTTTAACAAATCTCCTCTCAGTCACAGTGTGGTCAGTTGCTGGTGTGGGCTGAGGCACTGTGTTTCACCCCTGGGCTGGAGGGTGTTGGGGGTTATTTCTGCCTCTCTGGCCTGGGAAAGCCTTAAACGTGAGTGGTGTTCACCAGACTGTTTGGGGATCTGAGGACTGTTGCATGGATAAACATGGGACAGTTGCAAAGTACTGTGAAAACCTTTTTGACAACAGAAAATTGGAAAGGTTTATGAGAGGCTTTTGAAGAGAAATTGAATAGGAGATGTGCCTTACTGTGCTCAGGCAGTTGCTGTCCCTGGGCAAACTAGAGTAAGTTAATACATGACTTCGCCTGGTTACAGTTTGCAGTGGTGTGCAGCAGTACTTTCAGTGATTGCATCTATAAGTGTAGAAAGTTTGTTCACCCTATGGTGAGGATATCTGTTAGAGTGCTTGTGATTTTTTTTGTTTGGGGTTTTTTTTTTAAGCAACAATATTCTGCAATGAAAGTCAAAACAGGGACTTACATTTGGCTAATGTATAGTGTAAACAGTAAAACTCTCGCATGCAGGCAACACTGATGTTAGACCTACCTTCTGCTGGTGGCGACTGCTCTGTATTCCCTGCGCTGATGCACATTTGCATTCTACTTAGATCAGTTTAACATGGATGGGCAGATGCCACAGACTGCAGTGCAAGAGCACTTTCCCGTGAGCTTCGAGATTCGGTGCTCCTAGCACATGCAGGGCATCATGTAACACAGCTGGGCAGGCAGCAGGGCTTGTGTTCACAGAGAGTAGGGACACTGCTGTGTGCTGCTTGCGTTATCTTCAGACATCGCTCTCTGTGCCTTCCCAAAAACCAAAGAGAAGCTAGAACCTCTGCTCCTGTGTCCTTCCCTCACCCTCTTTATGCTGCCCCTTCAGCTACTTTCTTGTTGCACAACGCAGTTGGGATGAGGGCAGGAGAGTGCCGGATCTGTGGGTCAGTGCTTTGTCTCCATGCTGGGTGTTTGCCCTGTGTACTTTGCTCAGCACGCTGGCGTAGCCTGATACTGCTTGGCAGAAAGTCAGCACATGTTTTACCTTTCCTGAAAGAAGGCAGACCTGGGACACGGTGAGGGTGGAACTGAGGGGCGTTAGGAGGGCTTGGGAGTCTCTGGGCAGAAGACATCAAAGCAGGCCTCTCCTGATAAATATTGTGGGACTGGTAAGTAGATAACGGTATGCAGCAGGGAAAGCATTGGGGTTTCCTCATAATAGATAGGCCTAAGGCGGATCCTGGAGTACTGAATCAGAGTGTAGAGCTCAAAGTTCATGTCAGTACAGCCACAGAACAAATCCCACTTTCTGGGAAGCACGGGATTCCTTCCCATTCTCTGTATCTCTGTGACTGAGAATGGGTCGAGAAGAAAAAGGTCTCAGTTCTTGCATTTGTTCTGGATTTCTGAAATTAATGCCTGGCGGCCCCACAGATTTCCTGGGTGATCTGGGGAATATTGCTTTGTCTCTCATTATCCAAGTTCCCTTAATAGTTCTATGTTCACATAGATTGTTTATTTAGATAATCTGTTTTAAAGAGTAGGACATAAAATATTAGGGCTTTATGTCCTCTCTGCGGAGGCACGTGTGCGTGTCCTTTCTTTAGTCTCTCTGTGCTACAGCAATGCAAATGATTATGGTAAATGAACCAGCCAGTGCAGCATTGTGGACTCAGGTTTCCTACATCCCAAGGCCTTGCTGTAGGACGGTTTTTCACTGCCCCCGAGGCTGTTTTGTGGCGTGTCTCCAAAGGGAGCTATTGCGATTGAGGCCAGTGATTTCCAGGTAATGTATCTGGGCTGTGGAGCTTGTCACTCTCGTGAGTGATTTCATAATTCTCTGCAGAGACTGCCTTTATGGTTTGTGGGGGAAAGGTAATCCATGAGTTCTCATTAAGCCCTTCAGATAGACACGCTGACCTTGAATCCAAACCAGAAGGCAGTGAGGATCACTGAAGCAAGGTGTGGTTGGGGAGCAGTATTTCCTCTCTGACTTTTTTGGAAGATGTGGCCTGGAATGGAAGAGTGTGTTTGTCCGTCCCTTCTGAAGAACACCAGGGTGGTTGGGATATCAGAGAGACGGGTCCAAGACTGTGCTCTGAAGTAGGGGGAAGAAATCCTGATTTAGATCTCCCACATCCTTTGAATGCTCAGGTCCCTGGACTGCTGTATTCTGAAAAATTCTTTCTTCATCTCTCATTCTTTATGAAAATTTTCATATCTTCTTTCCTTTTGGCATTAGGTTGAAAACCCAAGATGTGTTGCAATATCTCATTGTTGATAAGCGCTGCCAGTACTAAGGAGGTTTGGCTGCAGACTCTTCTTAGACTTGAATGTTCAGGTTCTGTGCTTTGAATCAGCTCTTACAAAGCTGAGAATAGAGCTTGACTAAGGTTTTTCTGATAAATTATTTTTCCATTAAAATGATACATCTTTAGAGAGATCAAAACAGTTCACAACTGCAGACTGCATTTGGCAAATAGCTTTACACCTTCCACAAGTAAAAAATAAAAACCTGGTAAATTTTAGTACTTTCAAAAGTGGTTTTAAAAAATGTTTAACTTTTAAAGAAATTTTTAAAGTGATTGTTCTGGAAGTTTTAAAAACCTGTAAAGTTTCATTAACATTGTTTCAGGATTAATGCAATGTTTAGTATGATCTAAATGTATTTTTAGTTTCTTTAGTCTATTAGTGTATTTTAGTTTTTGTTGTTGGAAAAATGCAAGTGTTTTCATTTCTGATTGACCTATGCTATTACTACTTATTATCAACATCCAGGTTTGTTAATGAGACAAAAAACCAAAATACTGCACTTCTGCAAAGTTAGGATATTGCCTTAATTTCAAATATCCCTCCCAGATTTAGAATAGATTGGGGTTTTGGGCTTATGCCTGTTTCTAACACCTGCCTCTAAAGGAGTGCTAGTTTGCAAGGTGTTTGTATAATTTAAGACTGAGTGGATGTGTGCACTGAGCTCAGTGAGTATGGCACAGTGAAGTCGAGTCAAACTTGGACAGAGGACAAACCTTGGCTGTTTTACACAGATTGAAGAGTTTCTGCTACCAGCAAGCTGCTAGGAAATACAGCTCCATGTTTGCAGAGTGGAAAGTTTTCCGAGGTCTGAACTTGCAGGTGGATAACGTCATAGGAATGTACCTTTTGGTTTTTGCTTTTGTGGTTTCTTTTCTGTAAGACACAAATGGCTGGACCTTCTAACAAAGTTACTCAAAAGGCCTCACTTGTTTCCTCCCCGTGAGGAATGAACATGAACCTAACAGAAAAACCACAAACCAGTCTTGTCCTAATCAAGTGCTAACTTCAGGGAAGGAGTCTTGCAGTCTTCTGTAATGTAATTGCAGACACCAAAATGTTGTAAAAAGCCATTCCCTGAGGCCCAAACAGTCACAGAGGAGAGATGCCATCCAGCAAAAACCTCATACAAAGTGCTCATTAAAAGGTAAGAGAGAGAAAAGCCCTCTCTGATATTTTTTTTAATACCTGGATTTTCACCCATCACTGCTGTGAAAGACACTTGCAAAATTAGGCAGTGGAAGCAGAGAATGCCAGCTCAGCACTGTGTGTCAGGACCCATCTGACTCGCAGTGTCCATCTTGTGTAGCAGACTGGTATTTAACCACCCCAAAAAGGAATACATTACTGCAGTTATGGTCAGAAATAGATACACGGAGAAAAACAAAGGAAACAAGGACTACTGGAGGACAAAGCAAAAGTGAAACAAGTATACCTGAGTACAGCATCAGTCATGCTCTGCAGAGCCATCAGGGTAGAAGACAGTGGAAGTCGATACTCACAGAACTCCACCAGCAAGTACTTAGTTTCCTTCAATGCTCTGCCAAAGTTGCTCTTTTTCAGCGTTGTTCTCCTTTTTTACTTCAGGGAGTTTGGGTTTCTTTGGCTTTGTTTCATTGGAGCTTATGCTGTCTGCTGCTGCGAAACTTGTGAGAAACAATAATGGCAGAAGGAAAAACTGATGTGTCTTCATCTTGTCATGCCTTTAGCCAGTTACTGAGAAGGAAAGCAAAGCAGCACTAAGCAGCAGGATGTGCTGCTCAAGTGGCAGCTGTTGTATGAGGCAAACTAAGAGGCTGATAAGGTTGATAACGGAGTCTACCACCAGTGGAGCCAACTGCACCGTTTCACAGGAAGATTAATGCAGTTAATTACTTCCCCATCTTTAGCAGTGTTTGGAAAAAAAGTATCTGTGGGGAAGGTGGGTTTACTGTTTCTGTAAGTAATCAGAACCCTGGGGAGACAGCGAGAGAGCACAGGAGGAAGCACTTGCCTGCAGAAGCACCAGTGGATTCATAGTGCACGTCTTCAGTGTGCCTGCTCTTGTCACCCTTACCCAGTGCAAAGCTGCAGACTAAACAGTGAGGTAACTGGACTCTATTTGAGGGCTGCTCCTCCACTTAATGTTTGGCTGTCTGTTGCACTTATGGAGCTACTTATTATCGATCTGATTCAGAGCATGCTGAAGTCAGGGAAAAACTCTTATTGCTTTGCTTACGTAGTTCTAGTGTCTGTGTTTCTTCAGTGCCTTGTCTGTGAGGCTCGCATGTCTGCTTAAGTGCCAAGTTGTAGCTCAAGTAAGATACCACTTTGTGGGTTAAATCAGAAGATTTTGCCATTGGTTTTCAGTGGTAGTACAATTTCATGCAGCTGATATCTGAATGGTAAGCTGAAGGGGCCAAATGTACTGTTTCATCCGTAGGATAGCTATCAACTGTCTGTGAACTATGAGGCCTCCCTAGGTAGTCTTTTCAGAACATTTTAAGAAATTATCTTACAAAAAAGATTAAGAAAGTACCGTTTACTGAAAAATGGTTATTTTTGTAAATATCTGCCACTCTGTAATTGTAGCAGAAACATCTTTGACCCTTAAACTCTGCTGAAATGTGTGAACTGTACACCCAGTGCTGTAGCCTCTCTAGAGGGGGCCAGGTATTCTGGTGGTGGTTTTGTTCACACAGAGAAGAACAGAGCTGACAGGTGGGACCGGATTAGTAGAACCAAACTGATAGTTGAAGAAATTGCCTCCAGTAATGACTCTTCCTTCCTCATGGGGTGCTTCTAGACTAAAGGATGAAAAATCTGGTATCAGGAGGGTGCTGCTAAAGGGAAGGAGTGTTTATAATAGTGCTTGATGTGGTAGCCTCCATTTTATTGGAGGTGAAGGATCCCGGGTGGCATATTGCTTCAGTTTAGGTTCTTTTCATGCCTGGTGTGAGTGGGGCTCAGTTTCAAGTGAACTCTCTCCTGTCAATCTCAAAGGCCTTGGGTTGTAATGCACCTTGATACGTGTTCTGTTAGCACTCGTACAGGGTGCCTAATGAAATCAGAGGGACCTGTGTATTCAGGCTGCTCGAAAGATAAGATCGTGTAAATACAGATGCAGCAATCAGGTACTAAAGAAAAAAAAAGTAAGCAGAAAGATAAGAGTCTCCTGTTTGACTTTGTGGTCTTCCCAGGCTCTTTTCCAAAGACGTCTTTCTGTAACATCCTAGGAGGGTTAAAAAGCATCTTTCAGAAGAACAGGGGAAAACTAACAAGGCCTGTTTGATCTGAACATGCTGTGTTGTAAGCTCAGAACACAGCCTAAGGGTCCCAGAGCACAGGTAGGATGACAAAACCATTTGCTTAGAGAGCTGGTTTTTTCCTGTCTGCCACTGAAACAAATAGCAGTCAACTCAGATCCCTCCTGGAAACCTCCTACCAGGGAATAGGCACCATTTCGGAAAGGGCTTCTGACCTCTATGTCCCGTAAGGAAACTAGAGTGAGAGAAGGATCATACAGCAGTTGGTCCTGCCAGGACAGATTTGCAACGGGGAATGGAGTGGGATTTAGCAGAACTGAACAGGAAATGGAAAATGATGGAGTACAGTGATTTCTCTTGGGCATACAGCAGATTAGGTCACATTTCTGCACATTTCTTCACCAGTGCTAACTAGTTCTGGCTCTTTTATTTTATGCTTTACAGTTTGAGAGCTATGGAAGAACCTGCCTTCTGCAGAAGCCCCAGGCCAGTCAGCCGCAAACACT